ATAGTGGATGACATCATGGCACTAGCCCCAATAATAAATTTTATGCAGCTATTTCCTACAAGGGGGGTATCCAGGAATCAGAAACGAAGAAGACAACAGTATTATCAACTTTATAGAAATAAAAAGGACTATAAAGGAATACTAGATACAACTGTCTACCAATACATTAGGTAACTTGAATGAAATGGACAAATTCCTAGAAAGATATAAACTACCAAAACTGACTTGAGAAGAGATGATCTGAGTAAATCTAAACAAATGAAAATACTGAATTAGGAATCAAAACACTGTTCATAAAGCCCAGGCCCAGATGGCTTCCCTGTGGAATTCTACCAAACATTTATTTCTTAAAGATTTTTAATTTAGTTTATTTGAGGGAGAGAGAACAAGCAAGTACAAGGAGGGGAAGGGCAGAAGGAGAAGCAGACTCTCCACTGAGCAGGGAGCCCAACATGGGGCTTGAACCCAGGATCCTGAGATCAGGACCTGAGCCAAAGGCAGACACTTAACAGACTGAGCCATCTGGGAACCCCTCTACCAAACATTTAAAAAAGAATCCCAATTCTTCACAAACTCTTCCCAAAAAGAGAAGAGGAAGAAATACTTTTCAACTCATTTTATGAGGCCAGTATTACTTGGACACCAAAACCAGACAAAAACGTCACAAGGAAACTACAGACCAAATGCACATATAGTATGTTCCAAGTACACAGCTCTATAATTTTATGCATTTGAGGTAATCTCCATAAACAATTTTCTCATGATGGGTTTTTTGTAAGATCAGACAGCAGATTTCAAGGCTATAATCTTTGGGAAGCATCTGGGGAGTAAATATTCTGTGTTACCAATGAAATGCAGGTCTTTATGCTTTGCCAGCATTTAGAACAGGGAATAGAAATGAGATCTTCTGATGAAAACTAAATGTTATTTATTTATTGTTAAATGGATGACAAAAGTTAGGGGAACTGCCACTACCAAAGCAAGAACTAAAGAGCATTTTTCTTGCTGCAACTTGAACAAAGAACATGGGACAACGAAGAGTTATTAGATAGTTGACATATATTTTATAATGTATTTAAAATTTAATTTAAAACTACAAGAAAGAGATTCTAACTCATAAGAAAGTTCAAGCATTGACTCAAACACAGAAAAGACAAGCTCTATTTCTCTGGACTTCAAAAATAAATTCAAAACACATCTTGGCTAGGATAACAAACATGTAATTCTAGGAGTCCAAATCCTATACTTTTTCAAGTCTTGCTTAAATGTTGTCAGTTTTTTTTAAAAAGTGTAGCTGTTTTCAAATTAGTGTGGCACCTGAATGTTTCCTCTTACATCATTTTCCATTTTCTTCTTGGAGTTGCATTTGTCATACTATCTTACTGAAGTGTAATCTTTTTGAGGGCTGGAACAATCCCTCGAATCTCCAGACTCCTACTCAGGTTTAAAATAGCGCTTTGCTCATAACCAGCACTTACGACAAACTGTTCCATGAACTATGAAAATATTATGTATCTCATTACATGGTCAGCCTAAAGCCAAATGGATTTTTAAAGTATTCAAAGTAATAAAAGTATTCAAAGTAATAAAGTCTCCTGTTAAAACTTTTTTTATATTACTAAATATAATAATCTTTAAAAATATGAATTAAGCCACAAATAAGAGATGACTTAACCAGATTCATTGATACTAGTTACTGCTCTTGTAATTGATGTCCACAGTAGATAAGTGTCTCTCTGAGAAGAGAAAGGTCAACCTAATAGTTTACCTTCACATTGCAAAATTATCCCTTTTAAGACACCCAACCAGTTTCTTCTGAAACCATTCTTGGAATGGTAAGGAGAAACTCCATTAATGGACAGTGACACTTAGACATTGTCCTAATTCATAGAAAAAAATGAGGTTGAAAAAAACTCACTGAAGCCAATAAAATGTGAACAGAATTGGGGTGTGCAAATGTGAGCTGTTTTAAGAGCACCATGTGCCAGCGGTGTATAAGAGTTGGTTGTAAGATTTCCAGAAATTTGGCAAGTCACTTGTGACACTTGTTAAAAGTAGCTTTTAACAGCTTTTCCCAGTCATGGTGGGAGAATTTACAACATGGAAATAGCAAACACTACAATCAGGACCTTCTTCCCTCAAAGTTGGTTCCAGCACACGGCGGCAAAGTGAGTGTATCCCCGAAAAAGTTGATCTTTCAATCCGGAGAGTGGAGTAAAGAAAACTAGTGGAATCGATGTCGCAGATGTAATTTGCCTGAGAAATGAATATTTCTCTCTTATTGTAAATCACTGAGTTGTAGGCATTGTTACCTCAACATGATCCATGCAAAGCTGATACCCTAGCGTTATTAAGTTTTCAAACACCAAGAAGCCCTACCTTTACCTGTCCAGACTTCCCTTCGGTGGGTTTCTTTTAACAACTTGAACCATCTGACACCTTGAACCTGAAAGGATGCAAACTGCACTCAGACTCAAGACAGGAAACCAGGTCTTGGAAGGTTAATGCAAAAGTATAAAATAAAAATTAAATTTTTAAAAAGCACTAAACAGCTTCATCATTTTTAAACCCTGGCGAACACCAGTCTGTCACTCGTGGACCTGGATGGCTAAGGAGTGACCGTCCAGCCCTTTCCCCTACGGGTCACACGTTACCGTCCCCCCTTTCACCCCCCAGATGCATGAATTGAGCGCTGTGTCTTTAAGGCAGACGCACGGAGGTTTCTGCACAGGACAAAATGTCTGCGAGGATCTGGAGGGGACCGGCGATCCCAGACTTGTTGTAGCCCGCCTCCTGCTCCCGCCACGCTTTGGGGGGTGATGGGGTGAGTGTGCGCCGCCACGCAGGCGGCCGTGCTCCCGGAGGCCAGGTCGGGTCTAGGCCCTGCAGGGGTTTGGGGGAGAAGGGGGGCGGCGAAGGGAACGGGGACCAGTCCCGGGCCTCAGGGGCCGCAGGTGAGCAGCAGCCCGCAAACGCCACTGTGCGGTATCATAACAGGCTGGCTGCTGCGCGGGCTGCCGGACGTGCCCTTCCTTCACTGTGCTCAGGTTGTTCCTAGTGGAAAAGACGCATGTGGCCCCGAATTCTGTCTAAAGGCACTGTTGAGCTTCTTTCAGCGCCTCTTTTCTGCTCCTCCAGTCCCCTTTCAAAAAAGTTATTTGAGAATATCGAAAATCATCTGCTCTCCTTTTAGTAAAATTGCCTTTTTACAGACTTTTAACAGTGGCAAATGGCTGTGTGCCCTGTAGTGTGCTCTTTCTCTGAGACTTTTTTTTATTGTTTCTCATTTTGGAGAGGAGAAGCAAAATACGAGCCAGATGCTCAAACAGGAATCCCTGCCCCCATCTCCACTGTGCTCAAACAAAAGAATTTTCCGATCCTCTCCGAGTCCAGAGGAGCAGTTTGCTGTAACTACTTACAGTAGCCAAATGCCCGAAGCTTACCCAACAAAATTTTTTTTTCTTCCTTGAAAGAAAAAAATACCATCCAAACTTTGAATTAGCCCAGAGTACATGGATATGGTGTTAAACAGAAGCTGTTGTAGAAAAAGCTTAATAGGGGCGCCTGGGTGTCTTAGTCGTTAAGTGTCTGCCTTCCGCTCAGGTCATGATCCCAGAGTCCTGGGATCCAGCCCCGCATGGGGCACCCTGCTCAGCGGGAAGCCTGCTTCTCTCTCTCCCACTCCCCCTGCTTGTGTTCCCTCTCTTGCTGTGTCTCTCTCTATCAAATAAATAAAATATTTAAAGAAAAAAAAAGCTTAATAAATTGACATAATTAGGGTAATTATTTTATGCACTTTGCATTCTTGTATTATTTGTATGCCCTTTTTGGCCAAAACTGGCTTGAGGCAAAATACAATAAAAAGTATGTAACAATGTGTAAAATGTCCAAGAGCCAAAACAAGGTAATTCTCTATTAAAAATTCTTTGTATGACAAAGACTTCAAAGTAGGGCAGTTTTAAATTCCTGTAATTCATACTACAGTATGCATTTTACAAGACAAAATGGATCAACACCCTTCTTTTGAGGAATGTATGCATTAAAGTAATGTAGACCTAAAATAAAGGTTCAGTTTAGGATAGAAACTTTTCATTTTTAAAAATGCATTAATAGAGAATACATCTGGCCTTTTAGCTAATGGTAGAGGTATCTAAAATTTTGGCTTAACACATTCAAAGAACATCTCTGACTCACCATACAATTAGCTGTGGGTTCAGTACATTTTTTACAGTCCATGTGTAATCTTTTATCTAAATATTTTCATACTTACCCTGTACTGTCTGAGCTGAGTATCCACACTTCACAGTTTGGAGGCATTTTTTTGCTTTTTAACTTCATCTAAGTCTTCAGCCTCATGATCCCAGACTAATTTTTCTGATTGGCTGGGTCTGTTTATAAAGAGATGAATCCATGGTAGTAAACTAATATTTTTTTAATTATGTTATGTTAGTCACCATACAGTGCATCATTAGTTTTTAACAGAGATGGACAAGTAACAGGTGAACAAATTGTGGTTTCCTTGATATTTCAATTGTCAAGGCTAATTATTTGTTTTAATTATTATGTTCTGCTTTGACTGAGTTACTGGTGGATGAAGTAAATGAAAATGTTTTTAGTGTTTACACCCAAGTAGTGAATTTCACATTAGTGTGAATTTCTTACTTAAGATCCAGGCTCAACATACATGTATTTGTTTGTAACTCTGTCAGATTAATCCATCTGAAGTGATTAGCCTTGGCTGTGGAAGAACAGAGTTATAGTTCATTTGCTATTCCCTTTTGAGAACATTGCCTGGTTCTTTGGTCTTTAGCCTGCCTAATACTTTGTATGTGTCCTAGCATAAGTATAAAGTAATAAAATTAACTTCTGTGGGTGTTTTATAGAATGATTCCTAATGTTACAGTCATGTATGTATATACACCCAAATTTACAAAAATTATTCATCCAACTTTTGATCTCCCTTATTCTCTATATTGTTATTCAGGGAGATGATACTGAAGCATCTGGGTTTTAATCTGATAGATTATTAGAAAACTAGAACTTTAGAGAACTGCAAATAAAACTTCAAATGCAGTTTGAAATAATTAACGTGCATTTATTATCTTCCACAGGCTTAAACGTCTTATCATTCCTTCCAGATAATGGATACTCAAATGAAACTCACTATGGGCGAGTTCAGAGGTGTGGTACCAACTCTCCCCTCTTCCATGAAATAACTAAAATCTACTTTTCTTTCAGCTTTTTCCCCTCCCCCAAATTGGACTAGAACATTTCCATTATTAAATTAATTTCATGCTAGCTACTTCCACTTAGCATCAAGAAATCTTACTTTAAAATATGAGCTTGGAAGCCTAGTTATAAGACTAAAGAATTGGAACTTTATGAGAGTCAGCACTAGTGGCTATGTGTTTTTGTGAATTTGGGGCCCTGAAGGAGCTCAGGAAGGGAGGAGATGCTGAAGCAGGAGTGTCTGCATGAACATTTGTGTTAGGGCCCCCAATGCCCACCCTTTCCCCAGTATAGACATTGCATGATGGAATTCACCCTCATGAGTGAACAGTGCTCTGACCTTTACCATGTGTATCAGAATTATTGCGGAAGCGTCTCCCCGCCCCAGACATTTTCTTCACCTTAGCTGACCATGTAGTTAATAGGTGTGTGTTTTTCTTAGTTACTTGGTAAGGAAGTATTACACATCGTAGGGTTCCAAGTCACCAGACCTCCCCGTCATTTTCTACCTGAGAGAGAAGCAACCTATTTTTCATGAAGGTCCATTTATGAAGTGAAAATAAATTCGGCTGGGGAGGGAAAATGGATCTGTGATTCTTTTTTGCTTTTTATATTCAAAATCCTCAAGAGAATATTTCCAACTTAAACTACCTACTCTATTGAATAACAATGTCAAAGAAAGTAATAACACTCCCTTTACCCACTAAGATACTAATGTGGATGTGTTTGAGCAGTAAAGCCTGGTAGTCTTTTTTGTTCAGGACCTGAAGTTATACAGCACTGCAGAGTCCAACAGTAAGATCATTTGGATTATCTGATTTCAGCCACAGGTTTAGAGGCAGATAATCTTATCATTTTCCTTGACAGATGGAGAGACTGGGATTCGGTGAACTGGGTCTAAGAAAACTAGAGTCAAGTTCATTGCATTGAATGCAGCGTCCCTTGAGTGCCAAGGGAGATGAGCAAGGTGGGCAGTCCTCCCACAGCACCTCCATCTCCTGTGCATACAGAATCTCCTTCTGTTCAAGCAGGACCAGCAAACCACCTGATGCTGAGCAACCTCACACACTGGGTTCCCTCCAGGGTCAGATGGCAGCACGCTATGCCCCACAGGACTGTGCTCTCCAGTCTCTGTAGTTAAGGCTGCCTAGCCCAGCTTGCACTCACATGCCTGCGGATTTATAAAATTACTTTGTATTTACGTTGTTGGGAAGCTACTCTGTGAAGGTGTATACACAGGTTGTGTCTTTCCATAACATCCACTTTATTGAATCATAAAGCAATGTTAACACAATTGTAAAAGCAGGTTCAGAATTCCAAACTCAATGACATTTCACTGTGCATTTAACTTGGCTTCATACGAGACTTAAAAACAATAGAAAGTACAATATAAAAGTCACAAGACAAGATAAAATAGGGGATGTTAATGAACCAAATGCAGTCAGTCTATGAGCGCACAGCTGAGATGAGGTCTTGACCAATGTGGGTCCACTCAGTGCTTCCCTTCCTGCTTAGTACGTTCAAGCAGTGGAGGATCCCTGTTATTTTCCAAGATCAATTGGGCAGAATCTTCAGTAGCAGTTGCCTTTTTGATGCGGTCAGACGTGGGAGGGTCAGCATCTGGAGAATAGAACAGTTTGCTATAAAAATCTTCCCTTTTTAAAGGAGTTTGATGAGTCTAGCCCTTCCAGACTTCTGATTCTACTGATCACCACTTCTCGGTTCATCCAGGCTCTCTTGCTGGTCATCACTTCTGGGTGCCACCAGGCTGAGACTTTTGGTGATAATTATTCTCAGTTCATCACCCCTGTCTGCTTTCCTGATTCATGACATCACTGCTGGACATGAGTGACTCCATCTTGCCTCTCCACATTATATGTAGACCCTGCCATATACATAGTCTACCTAAATGTATCCACAAATGTGCATGCTTTCCTAGGACCTCTTTACTCCTCTCCTCCTTTTGTGTTTACCTCTTCCCATTCTCTTTTCACACCAGCTGCCACTCCTCAACCGACAATGTATCTTCCTCCTTATTTTTCTTCATATATATATAAAATCTTCATATATGATACACAGAGCTGTATTAATAATAATGACATCATAATATACATATTTTTCTGCATCTGGCTTTTCTTCCTGAAGAGTTCCTCCAGAAATCCCTCTAGGTCATCTAGCAAGAGCTCCAATCCATCCTTTTTAATGGCTGCACAATATTCCCAGGTGTGAATACACATTATTTACCCAGCCATTTTCCAGTCGACAGGCGTTTCTGTGTTTCCAGTTTTTTTGCCATTTCAGACAATACTGTAATAAACATCCTAATACACATTATTTTACGTATTGGTACTTTTAGTTCTATAGAATAGATTCCCAAGAATGGAATCCCTGATTGTATCTATTATTAATTAACAGAAGTCACCAGACTGCTTTCCTAAAAGCCTCCACATCTCCACTAGTAATGCACAAACGTACCCTTTTCTTTGCCTCCCTTCTAGCTTTGGCTGACAGACCTCTTTTGTTTTTGTTAGGGTGATGGATCTAAAATGAGACCTTACTATTACTTTAATAGCACTTCCCTGAATATAAGTGCTGTGTATCTTTTCACAAATTCCTTGGCCATCTGACTTTGTTCTTAGGTCATTTACCTACTCTTATTTCTTGCCCATTTTTCTATTGGATTGTTCGTGTTTTTCTTGTCAGTTTGTAAGAGCTCTTTGTGTATTAGGGTTGTGGCTGAAGTTGCTAAGGCTTCTCTCCCAACCCAAGATAGCAGACTAGGAGGCTTCTCTCCCTCTGTACTGTAGGGATAGTTGAAACAAGCCCAGGGGTTGTTTAGCAGAACTAGGAAGGCTATGATGACCTCTGGCCACAGACACCTGGTCACTGTTTAGATACTTAGTCTGAACAGAAGACTGTATTGAGCCAGAATGTAGCTGTGTGCGGAGGACTGAGAAGGTGAGGCAGTTCAGTACTGTGCTGCCTTCTACCGGTTAAGACCTCCGAGAGTGAAGGCCTGCCAAGGCAGAGGATGTCCCTCTGCCGCCCTTGGAGGGGCAGCGCTGTGCTGGCCAACATTTATGGTGCTGCGTGTCCCTGGCTCAGATGAGGCAGTCCACTAAGTCCAAAGGATTAAGACATCAAAATCAGTGCTTCTCACTCTTGTTTCCACCTTCGCTGTGACGACAGATGGCATTCATGTATGTGGCACTCCTCTGGGCATCCCAGATTTTGAAGAAACTCAGAAACATCTTGCAGGGAGGTAAAGCATGACAGTAACTGGTCACCCCTGGCACTTTTAAGGGCACATCAGTAATGCTCACTCTCAGACTCTGGCACAGGTAAGATAGTCTGCAGTTTTATATACAGTTTTCAACCCCCCAGCTCAAGAAAGCATATCAGAATGCAAAGTGACAGTCTTGATATAGAAAACCTTTAAATCTCTCTTAATTTATAAAAATTCAAGGATTCATAATCCTATTCTCTCCCCTTTGTGTCTATCTAATAAGAAAGGAACTCTGTAAAGAGAGGATTCTAATGTAAAAGAAATGAACTTTAAAAAAAAAAATAGAAAAAATTTTAGGTGAATTTAGGTTACCAAAAACAATTTTTTATACTAAAATCTGGTCTGTTTACTAACCATAATGTTATATAACCATAATGTTTACTAAGCATAAATGTAAAAAATTATCCTTGAAAATGGGGTGTAACTCCAGTCCTCATCCTATTACTCCCCCTTCCGGGACTTCAGGGATTTAGTAAATCTCTTGGAGGAAATCTAGCCTTTTAATTTCCAAAGACTTTTTATATACTAATTGGCCTTCATGAGGAACTACATTCAAATCAGTGCCTGCTATATCACAAGATACATAAATAGCTAGTTTTTTTTGTTAGAAGAGGGCTGTACTTGTCTTTTTTGATGATTCTGGTAAATTTGTACCTTTTTTCAAAATCTGATATGTTAAATGTCATGACCCTGACTAGAAAAGCTCGGTAACAAGACTCTTAGCAACTGAAATAAAAGCTTACACTAAATACTACTACTATTAGAGCAACTTATTTTTCCTGTTCTTAACTGTGTCTTCCGTCATTCCCAGTGACGTTATAAAAAGAGATTCTGGACATTTATCATCTCCACTGCTGTTGGTTCAAAACTTGACAGTACGAATGGACACAGGCTATCTCACTATGCATCTTGGCTTTGATTTTCCCCCTGAAATAAGCTCTCAGAAGACCTCTAAGCCTGCATTGTTCTCTTATTATTTTTAAATTTTCAAAACAAATTTGTTTAGAATCACACATTTGGTCCTTTATGAAGTTACATCCTGAAGAATAAACTTCACCTTTTCTATTTCTCCTTGTTTGATAGATTATTGCTGTGATAAACCGTTTTAACAGGAAAGACTTTACAATGATAGTCCTGAGGTTGTGTTTGTATCCTTTTAACCACTGATATTTGTTGGACAGAGCAAGAAGCTATTAGTTTTCTTTATTTCCTTCCTCAATTAAAAGCATTGACAAAGGTTTTTATCTTCTAAATGTATAAAGGGGATGAGCAATACAGAAAACTGATTTGTTTTATAACTGGAGCAACTCTGACAGGGTGAGAGGAAAAAAAGAACACGAGAGTAACGTGGTGCTAGCCAGTATTTCTAGTATCTGTTTAGGGAGCTGTTTACTGAATTTCTTTTACTCACCACCTGCCCTTTTATTACTCCTAGCACTGCTGATGGTTCTTTAGAACTCTGGATTCATGCTGCAGTGTTTCTACGGGAGAACTGACATTGGCTGGAAACCCTGAGGCATGACAGGGACCCCCAAGGCCCACAGGATATGGCCTACCAACTAACTTAGAGGTAAAATTTTACAAAACTGCTTTGTATATTTGTTTTCCTAAATATGTATACTTTTAAAACATTTTAGTGGTTTTTAGTACTGCCATTTTCCTCAGAAGCACATCGTTTTTAAAGTCATAAAACAAAGACTTGTATTTTGAAAAACGTCCTCACTGAAAGGTCTTTAAAAAGGCTGTTCACGCGGGGCACCTACACCCATGAAGTTTAACAAACCAATTTTCTTCCCCAAGGCTTTCTTTTAGCCTCGTTTTTACAGTCTGTCCCCTAACCCTGAGAGCAGAAGACAAAAGGAAGTTTATTCTGCAAAGAGTAACCTTTGTATAAGAGAGCAGGGGAGACTAGTTAAAACTCGTTAGTACAGCACTGACTGGGCTGGGCTTCCTCTGTTCGTGTCAGCCCCTGTGAGCGGGGGACCCGTCTGATTTTGAAGAGAGCTCCCAGTCAAGGGGCGGAAGGGCTAGGCAGGGCTAACATTCCCTGGGGACTAAACCGTGTAACAGGAAAAAGAAACCCAGGTACCACCCAGACGTAATAAAAAGGCGGCCACCTCTGGCCACCGAAGTTGTGCGTGTGAGAGTGTGTCGTCGCGTGGCTGTCCTTACCCCTTTCTCCCTCGGAACGCAGGCGCGGCGGAAAGAATGCGGAGTGACGAGCTGGCGGCGCCCATGGAAGATACCCGCGGGCCGGACGACGCGGCGGCGCAGGACGGCCCGTGTCCCGGCCTGGCCCCGGCGCCTCCCGGCCGCCTGGGGGCGCCGTACTGCGAGGCCTGGGGCTACTTTCATCTGGCCCCCGCGCGCCCCGGCCCCGCCGCGGGCCAGTGGGCCACCTGCCGGCTGTGCGGGGAGCAGGTGAGCCGCGGCCCGGGCTTCCACGCCGGCACCCCGGCGCTGTGGAGGCACCTCAAGAGCGCGCATCGCTGGGAGCTAGAAAAGAGCGCCGCCCGCCGCTCGCCGCTCGCCGCCCCTGGCCCGCCGCCGCCGCCGCCGCCGCCGGGCCCCGCCGCGGCCGCCGAGGGCGACTGGGCGCGCCTGCTGGAGCAGATGGGCGCGCTGGCCGTGCGCTGCAGCCTGCGTGAGCGCGAGCTGGCGCGGCGCGAGGCGGCCGTGGAGCAGGGCGAGCGCGCCCTGGAGCAGGGCGAGCGCGCCCTGGAGCGGAGGCGCCGGGCCCTGCAGGAGGAGGAGCGCGCGGCGGCCCAGGCGCGGCGCGAGCTGCAGGCCGAGAGGGAGGCGCTGCAGGCGCGGCTACGGGAAGTGAGCCGCCGCGAAGGCGCCTTGGCCGCCGCCTCTGTCCCGCTGCAGACCCCGCTCAAAGAAGAGCCCGAGGGGGAGAGGGACGGCTACATAATCACCAAGGTCCTGCTGTAGGCTGTGGCCGCCTTCCGCCCCCAGTCCCTCCCATGCCAGCGCTGCTCCAAGTGTCCCTGGACCGGCCTTACCTAGGACCTGAATCTCAGGCCCGCCGACGTCTCCACCGGTGGGCCCTTGAGAAGCACTTCAGAGGCCAAAGCAAAACCAAAAATCACTAACGCTCCGTGACACCCCCCCGCCCCCAACCCCGGGGGCCTGGGAGCACAAGCTCCAGTGGCCTCCCTAGCTCTTGGCCTTTAGTGAGCACCGGTGCAGGAGCTGGTTTTCCTCCAACTGCCTTTGGAATGACAGCTCCAGCAACTTCGTGAGACTAGGTCACCGGAGCAGTCTTGTAGCCGGTGACTTTGAAAGGACAGAAACTTCCTCGTGTACCAAAGACTATCCTACTACGTGCCTGTACACCAGCCAGGGCAACCCAGGGTGGAGGGTGCTTGGAAATTAGGATAAAGCATTTTATCCAAGAAGAGTTTTACTCACTTCCCAATGAATAAATAAATCTTTGGTAATTGGTTTGCCTAGCAGGAAGTTCTGAAAATGGGGCCATTTAGCTTCCACAATGGCTCTTTACCCTGCCCGCTCTAGTGCCTCATCAGAGCAGTCTGGGAGAACCCCTATTTACTCCACTCCCTAGCTTCCAGATAGTACCAAGTGCACCCTGTCCTCACACCAGCTGTTTTCTTTCCGTTTCAGACCCAGTGCCAGCTGTAGTGAGTTTCCCAACTTTCCTGCCTCACACTCCCTTACTAGCAAAACATGACCTCCTCCCTCGTTTTTAGGAAGATAACTTGGTATCCCACATATCTACAGTCCTCGCTTCTGGGCCACAGTAGAAGGAAGGCATTCCTTCAATCTGAGGCCATCTCTGCCTCTTTATCTGTTCTCATCCATTTCTCTTCCACCATTACTGGACCTTTGCTCCATTACTGTTTCTTCTTTCCTCTTATTCCCTCCCTTCCCCAGACTATGGTTCCTCAGTAACACCCAGTCTACCCTTGTACTAAAAAGAAAGACTCCCCAGCCTGGCTGCTTCCACTGAACACTAGCCAAGGGAGGCCTGGTTATTCTTGCTGCCTATACTTCCTCCCATACTTCAGTTCTTCACTAGTGGTCAGCTTCCCATCCTACCCTGGACCCTTAAGAAGCTGAATATGACAATTTATGTTCAGCCTTCATCTTGCTAGTACAATGAACATCACATATACCCTCCACCTAGACTGAGCAATTGTTAACATTTTGCCTTATTTGCTTTTTCGGCCTCTGCCCCAAACATACCTCTCATTTCATCCATTAGTATTTCAGCATATATATCCTAATAGCCTCTAAAGTAGTCCTTAATCAAAATTCTGCAATTGTCTCAGAACTGTCTTATCTTCTCTTAAAAAAGGGGGGGTCCAATCAAGGTTCATTATTTTTTATTACAACTTTGTCTCTTTTAGTCTAGAACAGCTCCTATGACACTTTTGAGAGTTCCAGCCATCTGTCTTATAGAATGTCCTTTATTCTGGGTTTGTCTGATTGTTTCCTTAAGTCAATTTATGTACTCATTCTTGACTCATCTACCCCTGTGCCGGTGACTCCTGACTACCTCCAACCTCGAGGTTCTTCCCAGTTCTGTCCTTCATGTCCAAATCCCTGCTGCATATCTCCACCTCTATTTGTATATCCTGCCACTGCTGATCCAAAGGGCAAATCTATTCCATTCCACATTCCCACCCCTTACCTAATAACTAACATTTACTGGGCTCTTAAAATGTACAGCTACGTACTGCATACTACATGCATTACCTCACTTTATTCTCATAGCAGCTCGCTAAGGAGGTAGTAATGTAATGCCCATTTACAGCTACGGAAACTGAGATACAGAGGCGTTAAGCAGCTTCTACAGGATCACAGCTGGTAAGTAGTAGCGTTGAGATCCAAATCCAGTCTCCACCTCCAGACACGCTGTTCCTAGCTTGGTACTGTCTCCCTTGGTAGTCACTGAGCTGACACCAAGTTTCCTCCCTCTCATTCCAGGTACTACTGTCAGTGATATTAACATGCACTGAGCGTTCACCATATGCCAGAGCTGTGCCAAATGCTTTACAAGAATAACTGCCTACCATAGAGCAACCCCATGACATAATTAATACTATGCCCATTTCGAAGAGGAAGAGACAGGCTTAGGGAGTTAAGCCATGTCGAGGCAGAATGTGAATTGAACTCATGTCACTGAATCCCAGGTCCCTGATCTACTGAGTCTACTTCTACAAATTGTCACACCTGTCTTCCTTCTGATGCCACCTGCCAAGCTCAGGCCTCCCCTTCCTAACACTCAATTTGACCAAAGGGAACTGTTCTTTTTTTCTTTTTAAAGATTTTACTTATCTGACAGAGACACAGCGAGAGAGGGAACACAAGCAGGGGGAGTGGGAGAGGGAGAAACAGGCTCTCTGAGGAGCAGGGAGCCTGATGCAGGGCTCAATCACAGGACCCTGGGATCATGGACCTGAGCCGAAAGCAGACGCTTAACTACTGAGCCACCCAGGCGCCCCCAAAGGATCGGTTCTAAGCCAACATTGATTATATCACAATTCCTGCTCAAAGGCCCCCCAAGATCACCCATCATTAATAAGCTTCGACTTTGTAGCCTGACATTCAAATACCCCAACCCTGCTGCCAGTCTTATCTGTCCCCTCCCCTACCTATACTATATGCTCCAGCCCAATCGGACTCTTTGTTCTTTTTGACATGCCCTCATCTTGGCACCTGTATGCCTGTTTGCCCTCGCTCCACTTAAAAGGCCTTTTCAATCTCTGAGTATGAAGAATTCCACCCATTTTCAAAGACCAAGCTCAAATTCAACTGCCTGCATGAATCTTTCCTTGATTATTCCTAATTTAGAGATGATTCTTTACTTCTCTGGACTCCTTAGCATTTTATAAACTCTTAACACTTAGAACTGCCATCTGGCATATAATTCTATGGGTTCTTGTCTTTCCTCCTGCCAGACCCGAACCCTTGGGTCTATTCCTACAGTGCTTTGCATATAATAGCTGCTCAATAAATATCTGAGGCATTGAACTCAATGTGTTGAGTTTTACAAGTCAGTTTTCCCAGTTATTAATATAGTTGTTCATTTATCTTTAATTCTGAGTAGAAGTCACAGCAGAAAAAAATAGCCTAGAAGGAAATAGCAGTAATAATTTTTTTTAAGTTTTTTAGTCAAGTGTCCATTATTGCACTGTTCGGTTTGAATCCAAATTAGTATTTCACTACTAGTATGTCATTATAAGGAATGTTTTTCTTAAAACGTTTTTCATTACCCAAGTAACACAAAGGCAATGCCCCAATCTAGGAAGAAATCAGAACAACAACCCCCAAGATCCTGTCACCTTAGGAAAACTGTATAAACATTTTAATGTATTTTATTCTTTCGTCTTTCACAGTCTTTACATTTTCTAAAAATAGTATGTTATTTCTATTAAGTACTGAAATGTAACTTATTCACGTGGATGTATAACTGGCTATATGAGGAATTTGAACACTTTAGAAGAAAGAAATCATCTACAAACGGTACTCTTTTATTTCACCAACTGTTAGAACCATTAATATCAGCAAAGATTGACTTTTAGAATCTCCAACTGCTAGCTCAAGAAAGATGACTAATGGGAGCACCAATAGCTTCTGTTTGTGAGACAGGGGGAAATAGCCTGACTATAACTCAGTGCTGGCGGTGGGAGTTAAGCAAAGAGATTTTACTTTCTGCTTTATATAGTTCTGCATTATTGTATTTTTTTTACACTAAGCATGAATTACTTTTATAATAAAAAATAAAATTATTTACATTTCTCAAATTAGAACTCCTGACAATTCCACTTTCTTAGGTAAAATACACAAAACCCAACAAAGACTAGAGTAATCCCCACTTTTAGAAAAGCCTAGAGAGAAATGCAGCCCTTGTCCAGTCTAACACTATCATTTGACAGAAGAGAAAAATGAGCCCCTGAGTGACTTGCCCACTATCAAGAGATAATGGCTATGGTGGTTCAATGACTCCAATCCCAACAGATACTGTGTCTCTTTAGCCTTAAGGACTTCTGCTGGCTCATCTGTCAAAGCCCAAGTCCTGTCAGGACCAATAAGTCAAGCTGGCCTCCAGAGAACGTAGAGATGGGTTATGGGGACTGCATTGGTCTGCCTGTGACCCAGTTGACTCACAGCTGTCATTGCTGATGGGTGACAGTGACACAACTCGCCTAGATCAGCTGGGCTTCCCTGACTTCCATGACTGGGTTTGCTAATAGAGCCACCCACATGCTGCCTTTGAGAGCAAGCACTCAGTGGCGAGGTGGATGGCTGCAATGGGGATGCAGAATGCCCTGAACCCAACTTCTGAACTCCTCCCATGATGTAAAGTGATCAGTCACTTCTTTAAGTTAAAATTTGGCAGAGACGAGGGGGAAGCAAAGCAGGGTACTGATAGCCAAAGTTGAAACAGCTAGAGCCCTTTATATACTCAAGTTGTCATCCCTGGAGCTGGGGGACGGAAGAGCTGGTTTGGGCTTTCTATTTTAAATAGCTGTCCATATTTTTGACATCTTAGGCATTCATTAAGACTGGGCTTTTGTTTTGCTGCCACTCAATAGGGAATTCTACTTTTAAATGTTTGAACTTCTTACCTTTCCACAATCTAAATCTGCTTGTCTGCAAAATGGATGAGGTGATCATTAATGTCCTCTTTGGCTCCAACATGGTATGATTACATGCAATAGTTTAACATCAACTTGACCTTTGAGTCATTGAGTTGTTTAACTGGATTTTTTGTTCACTTTAGAAGAAATGTTGACAGTAACATGCTTATTCTCAAAAAAAAAAAAAAAAAAAAAAAAAAACCATAAACAGGAGTATATCAAACTTCTTTCACAGTTTTGAGGTACTCACTCTATCATTCACTCCCTGGAACTGAAGATGTGTGCAACAGTCATGAGTATGGTCTCTTGTACCTACTCTTTTGTCCTCATGACATAATTGTCCAGATTTTACAAATGAGGCCACACACTTCAACAAGGCGAAGTGACCTGCTGAAAGACAACAGCAAATTGGAGGCTGGAGCTCAGTCCGTGGATTCCAGTCATACCTGGGACCAAATTTCCTCCCAGGCTTCCCTTGTGGTCCACCTCTTCACCAGTGCTATCCTGGGTGGAGTACTGACAGTTGGGTTGATATTGGCTGCTTTCCACCCACAAGTTCTGTTGCTGGGGGTAAGCCAGACCTTAAGGAAGTGAGGCTGACCATTGTACTAGTTTGCTGTTGTAGCAAATTACCACAAACCTCGTGCCTAAAAACAACACAAGTTAATTATCTTAAAGTTCTGTAAGCCAAAAGTCTGAAATTGAACTCAGTGTCTGCAGATTCATGTTCCTTTCTAGGGGCTCTAGGAGATGGTTTTTTGTTTGTGGTTTTGTTTGTTTGTTTGCCTTTTCCAGCTTCTAGAGGCTGCCCACATTCCTTGGCTTGTGGCTCCTTCTATCTTAAGGTCAACAAGGGCCATTCTTTCTCACATTGCATCACTCTGATACCCTCTTCCACATTAAATGGACCCTTCTCCTTATTTTATGGTCTGTTGGTTAGCAACTTAATTCTATCTGCAACTTTAATTCTTCCCTGACAGGTAACATACTGATAGTTTCCAGGGATGAGGACATAGACATGTGCTAAGGGGCAAGTGTGGGAATCTATGATCTGCCTACCACATAGCATTAACCTGCTTTGCTTAGGTTTGGAGATATATGAGAAAGGCAAAGTGCTTGATGGGGAATCCCTATTCCCCAGAAATCGATAATTTAATGGGGGTCCTAATCTCCCCCGCTTTTGTAAGTCTGCTTAGAGCAGAGAGTGCTCATAGACTTTTCTGAGATAGATACCTGCTAGGTGGGTGTGAAGGATGCCTCTAAGGGGAAATCAGAGGCCTCCATAGTGTTGAGAATTAAATATTTAAATATCTGTGCACTCACTAGGACCTGACTGACTAGGAAGGTCAAGTGGTGATGTGTGACTTGTACGCCTTTGGAGTCAGATATGAATTAAAATTTAAGCTTCCACCAAAGAAGAGCGTACTCAAATATTACAATTAATAAAGTTGTTGAAATATTTTTTTAAGAATCTTAAGCTTCCAACCATGCATGTTACATGTCACCTTGGCAATCACCTTAACCTCTCTGAAACCCAGTTTTCTCATTGGTAAAATGGGAATAATATATACAACGATTAAATAAGATATTATTTGGGCAAATTTTGACATATAGTTTAAACTCAGTAACTATGACTTCTTTCTTTTTCTCTTAACTGAATGGGAGCTCATAACCAATCCAAAGGATCTCAGAAAGAGCAGGTTCCCTGGGATGATTCCTGAGAACGGCTGCTCACAAGCCACACAGATTTGCCAAGTCATTTTCCTTCATGATAAATACCTGGGTTCTCAAGTAAGCTAATCCAGTCAAAATTCTTTAACACTTTTGACTATAAAGTAGTTTGACCAAACTTACAAGTCAATATATCAAAACCTATTCATCTACTTTTCCCTTCAAAGCAGTTACCTTGAAAGACTAGAGAGTTATTCCAAAAATGCTTCCATACTTAAAACATCTCTGGAACTCCTCTTCTACGGTAGCTCTGAGTTTCTGGAACATTCTTAAAAATCTCCTTAAGTTGGGAAATACTCATCTTTCCAGGAAAATTTTGATTTTTTGAAAAGAGCAGCCAGTTATTCAGAGCCCATTCTGATAAATACGGTAGGTGATTAACCAGATTAACATTACTAGTAAATAAGGTATAATATAATAAAGCAATAATTATTTTTGTGTGGCTCATAAACTGGCCTTCATAGTGTTATATATTAAGGTTAAGTAAAGGTAGCATGGTCATAGTAGACATTAAGGCCCACTTCAGTGGGTTTATGATGGGAATTAATTCAAATAGCACTGGGAGTCATTACATATTTAAATAGTATTAAATGTTTCTTTTTATGAAAATTTTAATTATGACATTCTCTGAAATCTGATTTCATAGTACTAAAATAAAGACTCGTGAGAATTGGCC